GATGGTGCCCGGTGCAGCATCGGCCTCCCCGGGCATCACCTGGCCGCATGTTCCCGTCGGCCGCCTGCCCACGAGTCCCAGCGAATGGTGGGGTGCGACTCGCATCCCCTGTCTCCTTAGCCCGGCCTGCCGCCAGGGGGGGGGGGAGAGATGGTGCCCGGTGCAGCATCGGCCTCCCCGGGCATCACCTGGCCGCATGTTCCCGTCGGCCGCCTGCCCACGAGTCCCAGCGAATGGTGGGGTGCGACTCGCATCCCCTGTCTCCTTAGCCGGGCCTGCCTTTGGGCGTCCTCGCGGCTGCCTGTGTGAGCGAGGCCACAGGTCTCCCTGGGCGCCAGTCTGTCTCTGCTCCCAGCCCCGAGGGAAAGCGCTGTGCGTGTGCAACGGGATGCCTGGTGAGCCCCGGAGCCTGTGCACTTCCTGGTGGAGTGGGCTCCGCTGTGCGTGGTCACTTGTCCCGACTACGGCCTGCTCAGAGATACAAATTTAGGCAATAGTATTGAAAACCAAAAAAGAACGATCACTCCTAAACATGGCTCTTTATCTCCCTAGACAAAGGTAATAATGTCTCGATAAATATTTTGTTTGGTAGGCAAAAATTGGGGAGTTTCCGATAACATATTCTGTGAAAGGAAGCCATTTAATCAAAGCTTTAGAGGACGAATTAGTGTCTTCAAAGGACCTAATGGAATCCGCGATCTTATCCATTGCTAACAATTCCCAAATCTTTATGAACCGTCTTGTAATAGGAAAAGGGTCTTTCCAACGTAGCTATAATCATTTTAGCTGCTAGAAGCAACATGGATTTAATGGATTGATTTAATTTAAGCAACATGGATTGATTTAATTGGCTGGTGCCCCCCCCCAGGCCCCCTCCCCAAAACTCCTTAGCTACGGGGCTGCACAATGGACATAGCAGCGGCTGCACACTGGACATAGAAGCTTGAAGGGAAACCTTGGAGATGTTGTTAGCAGGACAAAGGGAGAGAAACCGTCGTGCTGTAGCCATTATCGAACAGGGGGCCAAATTCACAAGATGCTGAGTGACACAGAGTTTTGGGATGGCTTCTCTTCCTGTCCTTAAGACACCAGTCCCATAGGTTCAACAAGCAGCCGTGCACAAGTTCCAAGATCAAAACTTATTTTACTGAGACGAAAACCGGTAAAAACTGTTGTACAGAAGCAGCGGGGGGCTTCCCGGACTCCAAGCAGAGTGCTCGCTTTCCACCAATGCTCAAATGAAATGTGTCGATTTTATCACTCCGCTTCCCCTCCAAACAGAACAGAGGCAACTGAAAACTAAACAATGAGGGGAAGGAGAAGACCAGGCGGCTTAACTGTCTCTTCCATTAACTGATAAAGCAAGTAAGACTTCCAAGTGCAGACAGCAAAAAACTTTTAAACTATTCCTTAACATTAAAAAATGAAAAAAATCTAAACCTCAGTTAACAACACTTGGGAGACCGTAGCTCTCTGAACGCCCTCTGAAAGCGTGCAGTTTTAAAATATCAAAGATCTTCAGAGGCATGCTAACTCCTTTGCACACAGTACCTTTTTCTCATGCGGCTTTGTGTGTTAGAGGACACGCTCCGATGCACGCAGACCCTGGGTACAACTCAAACTAAAATGCCTGTCTAACTTAAAGCCCCCCGCTCCTTACTGCAACCCAGGGAACCACCCCTTGTGAGAAGACAGCGTGGAAACAAGAACTATTTTTAAAGCTTCTAGCTAACCCCCCTTCCCGCAGAACGCCACAACGCGCAAGACCTTTCAGCAGCTCAGCTGAAGACGATCCGCTTCCTTTGTCCCGCTAAAGCTGGGAAGGTCTCCAGCCTGCGCGGAGAGTAGCTCAGCTCGCAAAGATGTCCACGAGCCGCTTTTGGGACCACTTGCCGAAGTCCTGCAAGCTCAGCTGGGCGTAGACCTGCTGTTTGACATTCTGGTAGTCCTCTGCATGAACCTGGGTGGAGGGAGAGAGAAATGGAGAGGTGTAGAAAACGAGCCAGCCAGGAGGACGGGCTCCCGATGCTCTGCCCAAATCCCCTGCCACTTGGCCACAGACGAAATAAGGAAAACCAAAAACAAGGGAGTTATCTGTGACGTCCGGGGTCTGTTACCTACGGTTGCCAAGTCACTTCCCTGGCAAAGCGGGGGAGACCCGGCCCCGATCTGGGACATTTGCTCGCGCTTTGATGTCACCCAGAAGTGACGTCATCACTAGAGATGTAAAATTTCTGGAAATTTTGAAGCTCAGACATGCAAAAACAAAACTGAAACGTTTTTATTTTTTTTCTGACAGTCGCACCTCCTAAAGGAAGAAAGGCATCTTGTTCTTGCATTGGAGGGTTCAGTTTGTAACCTAGGACTTGCTTGTCCTCAGAGCATAGAAATTAGATCAATCTGATACCATATATATATATTTTAGAAATGATTCGGAAAATATTTGTACACCTGGTCTTAAGATATTTCATTCATCATGTTAAAATAAAACGTTCCATAATCATTTTTTTTTCTTTTTTCAATTTTTACAATTTTTCAGAAAAAAACCAAAAAGGCTTCAGGAAAAAAAACGGGGGGGAAACGGTTTCCCCCCAAATTTTTCCAGTTTTTTCCGGGCCTTCACATCTCTAGTCATCACGTTGGGCCCGTCGCCGGCCGACGCTCTAGCAATCGACCTGGAAACTATGACCTCCGGGTGACGTCATCGCGCCAGGCACGTCGGACTGAACCAGCCACTTTGGGGGCAGGGTTCCCCCTGCCGGCCTGATCCGCCCCGCCAGGGGACTTGGCAGCCCTACTGTTACCCCAGACATATCTTGGTGGTAGAAAGTGCTGGCCCATTCTGCATCTCACATTCGCTCTGTTGTTTCACCGAACCCACACTGGACCCAAACAAAGACGCGGCTCAAAGCCACATTCAGATACCCCGGGGGCCCAACCCGTTACTGGGCTTGCGAGTCACCCCTGAACGGGCCTATGCAGACGGCTACCATAAAACCGAGAGATCAAAGGAAGTGAAACCGGCATGCAGCGCGGAGGCTACCACGAAATCCGACAATCAGAGAAGGTGAAAGTGCCATGCGATGCAGAGGGGAATTTCTGTTCCAAGGTGGGTTTGATAATACAGCAGAGCGAATGATGAAAGATGCAGAACGGGCCGCTGTCAAGTTAGAGCTGATTTCTGGCAGCCATCGCCTGGCTCCGCGTCATCACAACCCTGGTATTCCTTGGAGGTCTCCCAGCCAGGGGTCATTTCCTGCAGGCGTGCACAGGCGCGGAGCTCTGGCAGTAAAGAGCCCAGGGGGCGGGCACATGCAACAAGCCCTACCCCCTGCTCTTAGCAGCCCCAGGCCACGAGGAGCAAAAAGCCTTTCTTTCTTTCTTTCTTTCTTTCTTTCTTTCTTTCTTTCTTTCTTTCTTTCTTTCTTTCTTTCTTTCTTTCTTTCTTTCTTTCTTTCTCTTCCTTCCTTCCTTCCCTCCTTCTTTCCCTTTCCCTCGTAATTTTCTTCTCTCCCTCTTTCTTTCCCTCTTTCCTTCCTTCTTTCCCCCCTCCCTCCTTCCTTCCTTCCTGCACAGATCTGCGCGTTCCCCTTCCCCCCAGCTAGCAATCCAAAACAGTCCAGTGGCACCTTTAAGACCAAGTTTTATTCAGGTACAAGCTCTCCCTCCTCTGTGAGGACAGATCTGCATGTCCCCCCCCCGAATAGCTAGCAATCCAAAACAGT